AGATTTCAGAGTTTAATGAGACAGGTAAGTTTAATGCATGCAAAGTATCCGGTAAATGCTGTTTTCAGTATTATTGCTAAATAAGTTGTTTGTTTTGTATACATCAGACACACTTGTGCATCAGAAGATAAGTCTGTGATAACTATCCCTGTTCTTAACACAACCTTTTTTAGAGGTAAGTCAGCAGCAGATCCTGCTTAGAGGCTGTTCCACCCCATCTTTAGCTTGTTCTCTGATGTGTCCTTCCGAGTACAGAGCAGATTTGGTCACATGGAAGGGTCGGCCATCAGCTAAAATACATCCTCCTCACTCATTCTTGTTCCTGCAATGTACTATCCAATAGAAACTACTTCCTACACCACTGGAAATACACTCTTTTAATATCTACTCTGTTCAATAAGGCAGGCCTTCAGCTACATGTAGTAATCCAGTTTGTGGATGACAGCAATGGGATTTTTAATCTTTTAATGGACATTTACAAAAAATTTTAATATTTTTATTTTATGTATATGAGTGTATTACCTGCATGTGTGTAAGTGCACCCGTGTCATGCAGTGCCCACAGTGGTCAGAAGAAGGTGTTGGATTGCCCTGGAACTGAAGTTCCAAATAGTTATTAACTGCCATGTGGGTGCAGATCCTCTGCAAGAGAAGCCAGTGCTCTTAACTGCTGAGTCATCTCTCCAGCCTCTTAATGGACATTTTAAGAACTACTTGTGTCTTATTGGAGAACAAAGACTTTACTTTTTAACTTATTGTTTGTGTGTGTATTGTAAGAAACATTAAATATTAGTCTTTTCTTTCAAACTCTGTAAAACTTGGAACATGTTTTATGACAAGGAATTCTAATATTTTAATCCCACCACACCTGTAAGACTTTTGTTTAAGGAAAGGCCCTTATGTATTCCTGGCCTGGGGCAGTGGAGCTCTTCTCTGCTGAGCCTTTTAAACTAGCCAACCAGGAAAGATTGCAAGTCAGACCCCAGCCAATGAGGAAAAGACACAGTTCTCTTGTATTAGGGATAAAAGCCCACCAAGCTTCCAGATCCAGTGTGTGCTTGCTGGATCTGACTGTCCACACAACTCAACCTTTTGCAGAAGTAAAATCTGCCTTGCCCAAGTTACTTTCACTTTGTGTGTTCTTTGTGCAGTATTGATGGGGTCCTTGGGCCTTGGCTCTTATTTCTAACAGTATAATGTGTGTACAATGTACATGTGCACATGTGTGCAATGCATGTATGTGTTTATAAAGTGTATATGTGTATATATGTGTGTGTGTGTGAGTAGAATGTGTATACAATATGTGCATACAATGTGTATGTAGGTAAAGTTGCTTGCCACCAAGACTACTGACCTCAGTTCCATCCCCAGGACTCACATGGTGGAAGGACAGAACTGATTCTTGAAAGCTGTCTTCTGACCTCCAAATGCTTGTACATGTAGACACACACACACACACACACACACACACACACACACACATACACACACACACACACACACACATACAAATAAGTAAAAGGTAATAAAACTCGTGAAATAGCATAGCATTTCTGCTTCTGGATGTTTAAAGCATTTATTTAACAAACACTCAAAAACATATCACATGCTCACTGTAGATAATTGTACAAAATTAGCAACAATTTCAATGTCCAGTGGAGGAATGGTTATCACACATCTTCATCCAGCAATTCAGAAAATAAATGTCTCAATGAACTGGCACTGAAGATATCTAAGTTACTTTGTTTCTGAATATTACTTGTATCTCGGGGTTGGGGTCAGGGCTAACTCATACCACTCTTAGCAAGAGTTATTCCATAGACTCCTTCAGCTTTGAAGAACTCATTCTTTCCTTCCATGTAGCATAGAGTCAGTACAATTCAATGCAGTAGATGAGTCAGCTCTCAATTAAAACCCATTTCTCCCCTGACTCCTAGATAGAAACAAATCTTCAAGGATGCACCCAAAACTGTTGACAGTAAGTACATCACAAAGGGAAAGAGCAGGTTTGGGGTCAGAAGTTAACAGAAGGTTGGGGGGGAGGGGATTGCAGCATTGATTATTCCATCAACATCATAATCACCTGAACAAATTGACTGACTGAACTTAAGTGGGCCTGAACCCCTGAGGACACTAGCTGCCCTAGCTATTAGAACCGTCTGTCTCCCAAAGCCGTGTGATGGGTCTGTCTTGTCCCCTCAACCTGTGCACATGGAGCTGTCTGTGTCCTCTGTGGTGATGGAATTGGCTCTGGAACCCTGTTTCTCCCACTGTAACCCCTGGTCAGGCTATACCCACAAATTATTCAGAATGGTTTCTCCACCTTCTTAGGGGAAGTACCACTTCAAATTCAGATGGGTGCAGTAGCACATGCCTTTAGTACCAGCACTCAGGAGGCAGAGGCAGACGGATCTCTGTGAGTTCAAGGCCAATGTGGTCTACATGGTGAGTTCCAAGCCAGCTGGGACTACAGGGAGACTCTGTCTCAAAAAGACTAAAAAAACAAACAAAACCCCCCAAAAATCCCACAAATTTGACTGCACCCTTACTCACAGACCAGCTGGTCTTTTCATCCCTAGGTCACATTCATGTGGGTATGCTGCTTGTGCTTTGATCTTAATTATTAAGTATACCCACATTCATTATCTTTTTGGGTGGAGTACCAAAATGAGGTTTCCAAGGAGACACCCTGGTTGTCAGACCTGAGAGTGAGCCATGGTTTTGCTGAGGTTAATTAAAAGCCATCAGTCTAGATTAGATACATAAATGAAAGTCATTCCTACAGTTTTTGGTTTTGGAGACAGGGTTTTATTCTGATCCTCCTGCCTCCATCTCTTGAGTGCTGGGATTATAGTCCCCTGCCACCACAAACAGCTTTAAAAGTTTCATTTTTTACTTCTTGTCAAGCTGGACTTGTGGCATAGGCCTGTAACCCCAGCTACTCGGGAGCTGGAAGTAGGCAGGAGGATTGCAAGTTCAAGACCTGCCTGGGCTAGAGTAGTTCAAGTGAGTGTAACAAGCACATATGATGGTTAGTTTTGTCAAATTGACACAATCTAGAATCACCTGGGAAGAGAGTCTCAGTGAAGATAGATCAGGTTGGCCTCTAGGCCTGGCTATGGGGGAGTGTCCTGATTGTTCTGGTTGTTTTTTTGTTTTTGTTTTTGTTTTGTCTTTTTTGAGACAAGGTCCCCCTGTAGCCCCAGCTGGCCTGGAACTTGGTATGTAAACCAAGCTGGCCTTGAACTCACAGAGATCCACCCTCCTCTGCCTCCTGAGTGCTGGGACTAAAGGCATGTACCACCATGCCCAGCCCATAAAAGGATTTTTTAAATGTCTTTTCTCACCTAAGTAGCTATTTGTCAGGGTATTTTTATGACAACTGGAAAGGAAACTATAACTAAGATCCTGTCTCAAAATTTTAAATACTATACTAAAAAAAATCCTGGATATACAGGTCAATATAGAGCACTTACCTAGTATGTGGACAGCACTGGGTTCGATCCCTAATGGTGAAAAAAGTTCTTGCTTAACCAAGAGAACTCATATTCTCACACTCTAATTTGTAAGCAAATCCCACACCAGTCTTCCTCAAAATGCTACAATACTTTTTCTACTACATCTGCTTAAGTGTATGTGCGCTTTTCAGGATATTGTGACATGTTTAGGTGAATGTTTAATATTTTGATGATGAAAGAATAAAAATGTATTTTCTGGGTTCAGATGACCTAAAACTGCCATTTCAGAAAGCAGAATGATCAGTGTTCTGGATGTTGCACAGAAAAGGATCTCCAATTTCAGATAGGACATTCCACCATATTTTTTTTATTTAGTTTTATGTGTATGAGTGTTTTACCTACAAGTATGTAAGTGTACCACATATGTGCAATACCCACACAGACCAGAAAAGAGCATTGGATCCTCTGGAACTGGAGTTAGAGATGGTTGTTAGCCACTATACCAATTCTGTGAACTGAACCTGTGTCCTCTGCAAGACCATCTAGTTCTCTTAACCACTGAGCCATCTCTCTAGCCCTTCACCATTTTTTTTTGAGACAATGTCTCATGCAGCCCACTCTGATGTCAAACTCAATATGTACTGTGGGTGACTTTGGACTGATCCTCTTGCTGGCATTACAGGCAGATGCCACTATGCTTGTTATAAACCTTCCGGGTTCAGTGAAAACACTTTCTAAAAAATAAATGTGGATGGGCTGGAGAGATGGTTCAGTGGGTAAAGGTAACTACCGTCAAACCTAATAACCTGAGTTCAATCCCTAGGACCCACATGGTAGTAAAAGACAGCTGACATCCCCAGATTGTCCTTTGACCTTAACTCTGACACTACGGCAAACTCCTCAACATAAATATATATAAATATAAATATAAATAAATATAAAATGTAATAAAAATTTTAAAATTAAGGTGATGTAACTGAACAACACATCCCAAAGTGACCTCTGGCTTCCATATCTGCACATATAGGTGAGCACATCCATATGTATGTATACACACACACACAACACTACACATGTTTTGTACAGATATAATACTTTTTCCAAATATTTTCCATCTAGAGTTAGTTATATCTGTGGGTGTAAACCCACGGATATGAAATGCCAACTGTACATGACATTTTAGGAGTTCCCACATCCTCATGTGTAAGATAAAGAAAAATAACTACATTTCAGGGCTGTTGAAAAGATTAGAAACAGTGTATACTGAAGACTTCAAAACAGTAGGGATCTATCTACTCAAATGGCGGTCTATAATCGCCAAGAGTTATCAAGAGTCTGGCACAGGGGTTGTAGCTCAATCAATAGAGTACCAGTCTAGCATGCTGGAGGCCCCGAGGTGGTTGCACACAGGCCTGTAATCCCAGCACTCCAGAGATAGAAATAGGGGGATCAGGAGTTCCAGGTCCTCCTTGACTTAAGCTAGTTCTTAGCCATCCTGGGAGACACGAGATTCTGTCTCAAAACAACAGCCAGGAGTCTAATACAGATATAAAAGGTTTTATTCTCAGTATAATACAGTGCTCATGGATTTGATCAAACAAATTCCAAAATATACCCTCCAAGAAAATCTAGTGTCTTTTATGTGATAATGCATACATATTGTATGCCTGGGAAAGAAAGACCCAGTCTCTGGTTTCTACCGTCTTTTCTTCTTCCTTCCTTTGCATTCAGAGTCCCTTCCTCAGACCCCAAGGTCCCTTTGTAAGCTCTCCTCAGAACCAATGAAATGTGTGCTATTTTGTCATCTTTATAAAATTGCTATACCATTACTCAGGCATCTCCGCTTCTTCAGTTTTCCATTTCCCCCCATATAGCTCTTTCGTATTAACTGGTGTATATAAGAGGCAGGTCAGTTTGCTGGGGAGAGGAAAATGTTAAAAAGCACAGCAAATAAGAGGCAAGCTGCATATGCAGCGATTGCAATCCAAAACCTGGGATCTTTCAGCAGGGCCTTATCAAAGCAGCTGAACACAGTGTAACCGACGGACATCCCGGCAAATCCACCCGCGATGTGAGCAGCAAAGGACACCTCAGGAGAGGAGAAAACGAAAATGAGTGGAGAAAATGCTAATCGCGTACTTTAGTTGTATAGCTCATACCCAAAGGAAAACACCGTCACAGTCATGTCGGGATCTAGGGGCTGAAAGGAAAGAGACACAAAAGCTCATGTGCTCTCAGAGAAGGTGGTGTTCCAAAACACGCAGAGCTTAAAACGTCATCTTCTCTTTCACATTTATTTTTTAAAATATTTTATTATTTTTATTTTATGTGTATGAGTGTATTGCCTGTGTGTATGTGAGTGCACCCGTGTCATGCAATGCTGCGGAGGTCAGAAAGAGGGCTTCAGATTCTCCTGGAACTGGTCGTAGCCACCATGTGGATCCTCTGCAAGAGCAGTCAGTGCTCTTAACCACTGAGCCATCTCTCCAGCCCTTCACATTTATTTTTATTATTATATCATCATCTTCATCCACAGGGGAGCACACATGCCACAGAGTGGATGTGGTGGTAGAGGAAAACTGAGGAGTCACTTTCCTTCCACTTTACATGGGTTTCATTGAATTTAGGTCACCAGACTTGAGTGGGCAACACCATCTGGCCAGGTTCATTTCCTTCTGTCTTTTCTTTTTTCGGATGTGCAGGTACTTGTGTGTGTGTGCCTGAGTGCTAAGGCCAGAGGATAACATCGAGTCTCTTCCTCAGTCACTTCCCACCTTCTATACAGAAGCATGGTGGTCTCTCACTTGAACTCTGGTCAGATTGGTTGGGCTTGTCCAGTTAGCTCTGGGAATTTCCTGTCTCCACTTTGCAAGGGACTAAAGGCAGGCCACCATGGCCCTGTCCAACATTACATTGGTGCTTAGGATTTGAACTCCAATGCTCAGACTTGCACAGCAAGTGCATTAACCATTGAGTCATCTCCCCAAACCCACCTTAGATTTTTTTTTAATAAACTTCAAAATGGATATTTGATGGTTTTAAATCAGAACTGTAACCCTTATTTCATTGCCCTTTTTTGTTTTGTGTTTTCTGGTATTGTGTTGTTGAGAAACAGTTTTATGTAGCCTAGGCTGCCCTTGAATTTCCTGTGTAGCTAAGAATGGCCTTGAACATCTGATCCTCCTGGAGGTTGAGGTTACATGATGATCTCTTTTAATGAGAAAACAAATATTTGCTTTTAAAAAAGGAAAAGCCAGGTGTGATGGTGCCCACCTAAAACTCCAACACTTGAAAGCACATAGCTGGTGCTCTGTGAGCTTGAGACCAGCCTGATTGATATAGTAAGGTCCAGGCCAGTCAGGGCTACATAGTGAGGCTCTGTCACAAAAATAAATAAATAAATAAATAATAAATAAATAAATAAATA